GTTTCTGAACAGTCTAGATGTATTGAACAAAAGTGAGGTGGCTGAGCATGCCTAAAGTTGTGCAGCTGGTCGGTTTGCACTAATTGGCTCTTGGGTGGAACAGTTCTGCACTCATTCAATGGGTGAGCAAAGTGTGTGGTTTTTTTTTTTTTTTTTTAATAAAAACACAAGTGAATGGGCTTAAAACGTCCTTTAAACTTGATCAGGATTTACTTGGACTTAGCTGACAGGCCTAAAACATATCCAGATGCACATGCCTCCAGTAAAATCTGCTTTAAACAAACGGGTGCTCAACTTTTTTTTTTTTTTTTTTTGTTTGCCCATTTTCAGTTAATCACCCTAAAGAAGCCATGCAAAAGTAAAACTTGTCAAATTAATTCGTAATCATGCTGTCAAAAGCAGTTTACTTGGCTTTTGTTCAAATTTTAAGTATTCTAATTTTACCAAAGGCAAAATTTATAAATGTAGTACTGGGAACCCTTGTATGGTGTTTGGAGCTGTGGGACCAGTTTTTACTTTTTATTCTCCCAAGTAAGACTCTCGCTTCATTTTGGTGAACATGCCTCACCATTTGTCGACCACACACTCTACATCTCCCACACATTTATATTGCACATGGGATGCTCGGATGCACTGGACCCAGGGCTAATGAAGTCAAACTTCACTCTGTACTCCAGTCTGGGCCTTGTGTTTTGTGAGCTTTTTTTTGTTTTTCAACGGTTACAAACTTCAGTCCGTCACCTGTCTGGTCTTGACATTTTTATCCTTCGCTTTGCAGGACCAAAACTGAGATTCTCGCATAGGGAGATAAGACTCATCTTGTGTACTTGTCAAAACTGATCAAGATGGCTGAAAAGTCTGCTCGGATGGCGTTAGAAATGATTTTTGAAGAGGGAAGCTGACAAAGAATTTTCATAAGTTGGGACCCATTTCTGAAAATCCAGCGTCTTTATGGCAATTTAGAGGATGAGATGACTACTGCCAAAGCAACGAGCCACAGGACCAGCCTATTGGCAGCTAGTAATTGTCAAATAATGGATAAATTAAATGGTTTTCATGTTGGACAGCCACCACTCATGGCTGCCAGTGTAATGGATGCAACCGGATGGCAGTTTCTATTGTGGAGGACACCGTTGTCTTGAGCTTTTCATTGCAGATTAACATTATTCTAGACTGCAACTTTTGAAGAAAGGCACACTTTTGGACAAATGTGGAAAGAGATGAACCAAATCCATTTACAGGCCTTTGGGGTTCATGCCCAAAAAGGTATCCACCATCTCTGTGCACAAAAACTGGAAGCTTTTTTTCTTACAGTATCTTTGAAAACTTCCACATGATTTCCAGGTTATACACTGATACTAAGGATGACATCAGCTGGACAGAAAGACAAGCTTGCCTTCAGGACAAGTGAATATATTGCCTCCCCCTGCTTTACAGCCTTGGGCCTGATGTCACACCTGAGGGTCTGATGCCATTTAGGGGCAAGTGACATCAAAACTTTAAATATGGAATAAAGATTTGGGCAACCTGTGAATTAAATGCTTAAAACCTACAAGCTGGAAGGAAGAGCCCCTGGGAAAAATCAAGAAATGAGCATCGTCCTGGACACAACAGTAGTGGACACATGTGCAAAACTTTTTTTTTACCTCATAAGTTTGGATTGGAGCTCCTAAAAAAAGAAACTGACCATTGTGAGAATATTGACAAACTATATTTAAAATTATGGAGGGATGGGGGGGACAAAGAAGCACTTGCATTTAAAAAGTGTAATCCAACAATGTTGCTGGCAATTTTTAATCGGGGCTATTCAACTAAACTGCTTGGGGGGGCACAGTAACTGAAAGCCAGCAGCTCGGGACTAGGCATCCAGCAATTAGTCATTATGTAAATAAACCAAGTATTACAATCATTTTTACTGTTTAAATTTGTTTATTTTGTTGCATTCAATCATAAATGCAATAAAAAGAACCCAAAACCAGAACATCCATCCCCCACTCACTCAAAAATTAAATTAAATTATGAATTCATTGGAGGGCCTGACTAAAGTCTCCCACTGGCTGAAAGTGGCCCACGGGCCGCCATATGAATAGCCTTGATATAACAATATGCTGTTTACATGGGGTGAAGTAAACATCAGCAAAGTTTTTTTCTTTTCTTTTGTGAAACTGAGTGGAATTTGAACAACAAAATTCACCAGACGCACAAACACTGGCTGTGTAATAAAAACATGAACAACATACATGAATTAATTACACAAATTGTAAAGTAAATTTAAGCAGTTGATGAAGACCTAAGACAATTTACTCAAATGTTCATCAGTGTCATACATTCTTGTCACGTTTCCAGCAGTTTTCTCCCTGAATGATTTATTTATTGCTGGATCTGTGGAGTCCCTCTCCAAGCAGGCGTCGCTGTGGGGAGCTGCTCTCTGTGTTGGTCTGCCTCTCAGCGGTGCTCTCTCCCTTTTACAACACATGCTCTGGTGGGGTTTTTTTTTCCCTCTCCAAAGTTTGACCCTGACCACTGACAGCAGCTATAAAGTGCCCGTGCTTTCCTCACGCACTCTCTTTCCCCGGCCACAAACCCACCGTGAGTTCCCAACTCACTGTTCTCTAATAAAACTGAAAAACTCATAAAAAAACATAAAATCTACAAAATCCTTAAAAAATATATACCTAAAAATACAAACTCTTAAAAAAAAAAAATTGCAAATTAAAAAAACAACAAAAAACAACAAAAAGGTGTGGAGGTTTTTAAAAAGAAGTCTACAGGATCTTAATTTTATTTTTTTATTTTTATTTTTTTTTGGAGTCCGGGTCAGAGGAAGTTCTTTTATTTTGGAGCAGAAGAAGCATGAACACAGCTGCTGGGAGTTACCCCATGGCTTCTCTGTATGTGGGCGACCTGCACCCCGACATCACCGAGGCGATGCTGTACGAGAAGTTCAGCCCCGCGGGCCCCGTGCTCTCCATCCGCGTCTGCAGGGACATGATCACCCGGCGCTCCCTGGGATATGCTTATGTCAACTTCTCCCAACCTGCTGACGGTAAGAAAGTACCTGGGGGTGGAGGGGTTCAGCTACTTTGAGCTTGATTGTGACATTGTTGATCAAAGCTATGTTATAAATGTTAAATATTCTCAATTTGGAGTGAGTAAATAGTCTAAATGCTTCAAATATTAATAGCTTTTTGCAACATATGGATCAGAATATTCCATTAAATGTCATTTTTACAAAACAGCTGAAACAGTGTAAAACAATAGTGTTCTACTCGGACACGTATACAGAGGCCAAAAACATAAGGGACAATTTTCATCCACATTTAAGGAATAAGGAGTCCGATTGTTCATATAAAACATGATTTGCCTCCTTAGACATGTTGCGATGAATTTTAAAGGAAACATCAGACATCTTTTCATGGCTGCAAGCCCATCAGATAAAGTTTGATTGGTGCAATTTGTATGTTTTTTGTTTGTTTCTATGTTAAAATCAAATATGCCAAAATGTGGTTATGTTTCCTGCCTCCATGTTGGCTGCATATGAGAAATCTGCAGGTTTTTTTAAAAGCAAAACAACTCACGTTGCCTCAGATTGACAGGCCAGTTTTGATTAAAATATTAACTCACGGTTCAAATAAAACTATTAAAGGCCTTCAGTCTAATAAACATTGATCTGTTTGGTTTATTAGTGATCAATTCAAGTTGCCTTTCTTAGTTTCCACACTGCAGCAGAGCTCTGAGTAAAAAAAGCAGGTGTTGAGGCCTGGTGGCACTGCCCACACTGTGAACATTTCTCCTGTTGTATCAACAGAAAGCACCTGTCACAGCTTATCTGAGCTGGACGATGTTCCCAAAAAGTCCGAATTAAAAGGGTTATGGCGGGGTTGTTTCCTGGAAGGGGCTTCTGAGGTGAACTGCAGGGGATAAGATGTAAATTTAAATATCGACTGAAATGTTGGAGCAGTAATGTTTAGTGACAGGGATTCTCGTAATAATGTGATAACTGGATTTACTCACTTGTGTGAACATGAGAGCTGTTGTTGCTCATCTGTGCAATTGTGAATGTCCCTTTCCTCATGGTTGGTAGAGAATGTTATCCTCACGCTCCATGCCAGCACATGCCTGTCAGGACCCCCCCTCTAAATATAGCACTTCCCTCACAGCAACCGTAAATTTGCCTGCTGCGAGACACTTGAGACAAACCGTTAACAATTGCCATCTTCTTAACCCTCAACTCTGAATTAATTAGTTAAGATCTTTAAAAAAAACAACAACCAATTTAAACAAGGATTTTTACTCTGAACCTTCCAGAAGTCCACGTGTTTCACACCCTCGTCTCTGGTTGTGAAGTACAATTGCAGGCCAAACTGCTGATGCCAGCAGACGCGAGGGAGCTCTGTTTTGTTTACCAGACACTTTCAGCTGGAAAGGCACGTGTGTGGCGCGACTAAACAAAAGGATGTTCAGCACACGAGCACATAATGATAAGAACTGATGCAACAGACGAGCGAAAAGGGTTATATTGGTCTCACTGGGCCTAAATGAAAGTGTCACATTGGTTGAGAAATGTTGCATATAAGCATGTGTGAACAGGGGGGCATGTGGATTTGGTTTGCAGCTGCTCAACACTTGTCCCCAGCTGCTGGCAGATCAGCCACATGGTCTGCGGCTGTGTCCACCATGTGGCTAACAGTACCCCGCAGGAGGGCAAAATCTTCAGAATCCACAGCTTTGTGCCGTTTCTGTCTCCATGCTGCTGAATGCTGCTCACTAAGGTGTGTTTTCTGAGCTGAAGCTCTGCATAAACAACAGCACGTGACCCCCGCCTCTCTCTTTGTCCTGCCCTTTAGCTGAGAGAGCCCTGGACACCATGAACTTTGACGTGGTGAAAGGGAAGCCGATCAGGATCATGTGGTCACAGAGGGACCCCTCCCTCAGGAAGTCTGGCGTGGGCAACGTGTTCATCAAGAACCTTGACAAGTCCATCGACAACAAAGCTCTGTACGACACCTTCTCTGCCTTTGGCAACATCCTCTCCTGCAAGGTACTTTACAAGCACGGGAGTTTATTTGCCGTATCCGTATGCATCAGAAATATTCATCATGTTGCATTGTAACCATAAAGATTCAGTTTATTTTTACAGCACCAGCTCACAATAAGTCATCTCAGTGCACTTTACAAAAAAAAATATATATATAAAAATAGTTCCATTCAAATTCAATAAAGGTCTATAATACCTTGAAGGAATGCATATCACCCACTACATTTTGACTGTAGGATTTAGAGTAAGCTCCGTTTACATTGAGAACATGATGAAGAACCTTATTTTGTGCAATGCTGCAGAAAGTTATAATCAAAGTATTGTGAGTGACTCTGTTATTACCACATTGAATTGTTGCTCAATATCTGTAAATTTGACTGATTTACAGCCACTTTTGTTTTTTAGGATCAGTTTGCAGACGTCTTGAATCTGTCTCCATAAGTCATTTAGATGTAGATGCACATCCAATGATTACTTCCTGCAAATTTTATTCAACTCTGTCCAGTGGTTTATGAGATATTTGGGTAAAATCAGACACTGTTATCATCCACCTTCACCTTTTGACAGCAGGCTATAATCACATTAAATTAACATCAGATTCAGTAGAAAATGCCAATTAGTAAAAAAAAAAATTGTCTGAAAAGATAAGCTGTCAAATCAGCATTTCACATTGGAGCTTTATTCTTCACAGATGGTTTCTAAGTTTCTTGTTTTAATTCGTCTAAGAATCCAAATCCTGCTGGACAGAAAACAACATTACAATGATACTTTTATTTCATTCATTTCAATGTTAAACACTAAGATTTTCTTTTAATCTCTGCATAAATACTTGGACTTTTGACATCAGCCTGGTGCTGAGATTAGATTTCAACTCAGATCTGGATGGTGATGACACTGTAGCCTAATAACTCCATGTTTTCCCCTTTAACCATAATTGAAGTAATACTGTAATTTCTGGACTATAGAGCACATCTGAATATAAGCCACACCCACTTAATTTAAAAATAAAAACTGTTTTATACATATATAAGCCGCGCTTGTGTATAAGCCGCGCTTGTGTATAAGCCGCGCCTGTGTATAAGCCG